GGTAAGCCCGGCCATACATCAACATCATCGGCAAAGCCGAATATTAATGGTTCGAAGCTTCTGCTCTGCATTTGGTGGGATCAGCTGGGTGTAGTTTATTATGAGCTACTCAAACCGAACGAAACCATTACGGGAGCTCGCTATCAACTACAATTATTTGAGCCGAGCATTGAAGGAAAAACGGCTGCTATACGAGCAGAGACACGACAAAGTGATTTTTCAACATGACAACGCACGGCCATATGTTGCACAACCGGTGAAAACCTACTTGGAAACGCTTAAATGGGAAGTCCTACCCCACCCGCCGTATTCGCCAGACATTGCCCCTTCCGATTATCATCTGTTCCGATCGATAGCACATGGGCTGGCTGAGCAGCACTTTCATTCTTATGATGATGCCAAAAAATGGGTCAAATCTTGGATAGCCTCAAAAGACGTATCGTTTTTCTGACGTGGAATTCAAATACTGCCAGAAAGATGGGAAAAAATAGAGGCTAGCGATAGACAATACTTTCAGTGACATTTTTTTTACGACTTTTTAAAAATAAAGCATTATTTTTCACGAAAAATCAGCGAGAACTTATTCAAAGTCCCGATAATTTTTTAACAAACGTTTTTAGTTCATTTAAGATGGTTGACAATTATGTAACTAAAAAACTTTGAACGAAGTCGATTGGTCAAATAGTTTTTGAGTTATCTTGCACACCAATTTCGGAAAAGTGATTTTGAGAAAACGCATTTAAAGTTTTCGATATTGCTGTATCTGCGCGACGCGTACCTGTGTTTCTTAAGCTATAACTACAAAAGTATTTTGAATTTCGATCTAAAACTTTACGAGTATATTTTTAAAGAGTAATACTATCGATTAAAGTAAAAAAAAACGAAAATTTTGATCCTCTAAACCAGGTTCCACCCTTAAGTTGTCTCTGGCCTCCCATCTTTTCTCTCCTACTGGAAGTGGAAGTCTTTAAAGCGTGGATCTAATAATATGGCATGAACGAATATCTCGTTCTTTATAATTTGTTCGAAACGTACCTGTAAGCGCGAAATATTATATTGCAAGCATGATATGTTCATGCTATGTTCATTGTTTATAATTGGCAGTTAATCCGATTGAAAAATAATGAAGAAGCATCACATTTATGCCGTTAAAAAATTTCTACATCTATGATCACTGTCCGACCCGATTTTTAATTCGGGTACCCGAAATTTACGGATATTCAAACATTAAAAATATTCGAAACCCGATCCGATCCCGAAAAAAATTCCTGACCCGATTCGAACCCGAAATTTCAGGTACCCGCACATTCCTAATAATTAGTTATGTGTACGACTTGCACTGTGAAATTGGGGTTATTCTTGAATTCGTTTATTCGGGACGAAACATAATAAATACAACAGGAAAACAGGATACAAAAAAAAGAAATAAGTCTTAAAATGAGCTTTTATTCAAAATAAAGCAAGGAAATATAATTTTAAAATATGAAAGTATATAAAATTAAGTGATATAATGAGCAACGTAAAAAGGTCTATTAACTCTTAAAAATATTTTCTTCTGATTTTCATCAGAACTAATATTTTTAATTACTAAATATCTTATCGTAATAAAAGTAATAAATATCTATTGTAACAAAAAGAGAAAATGGCTTGAATGTTATTTAAGGTCTAAATTTATGACTAGAACATGCAACGAAGGATTAATCGGCTCATCACTCGTGGAATGGGGGAAAATTGATGTTTCTATGTTGCCGCTTTAAGTATTCCTCGGCAGCTCTTCAGCAGCGAATCTTCATCGCCTCTTCAGAACGAGAGAGCTAGAAAGATAAAAGGAGAGGAAGGAAGCATTTCGGGCAATATTGGTTTTAGGCAATAATTACTCGTCGGTAACCACTAAGCTGAGAATACAGGACTGGAGGTTTCGGCCGCAGCTGCAGTAGAGTCATGAATCTATTTTGCCCGTTCTCTCAGTCTCTCTCTCTCTCTCCCCATTGAGCATGAGCGTGGTGTAGCAGACAACGTACGAGACTGCTATGCCAGGGATCCCGGGTTCGATCCCAGGCAGAACCGAAAAACTTTTCGAACACTCGTAGTTCCTCTCGGCAGACAATAGCAAACCACTGAGAGTATCCTTGACAAGTATATTTCTCTAAACAAAATCGTCGTTCGGAATCGACGTTAAACTGTAGGTGCCTTATGACTGCGTACAATCAGCGCACCACAGGCATATGAGAGAAGTCACCACACTTGGACACAAGCAACGGAAAAAGAAGAAGATACATGATCGTACTCTTAAAATCGTTCGATTATGATCATTTCTTGATGCTTATCATGTTCTGTTAGCTACTTAAGCAATTCTCGCCTAACATTCACAAGTAGATAAAAAAAAAGCTAAAATGTATAACTGGGATTGTTGTAACACCACGATAAGTTACCTAAAAGCACAGAATCTGGAACGTGATGACTCATCATTAATATTTAAGTTCCAGATTCTGTGCTCTTAGATAATTTGTTGTGATGTTATAACAATTTGAGTTATATATTTCAGCTTTTTTTCACTTTTTTAACTTTTCTCCCTCCCTTCCTTTCTCTCCCTTCCTCTCTCTCCCTTCCTCTTATTCCTTTTGTTGTTCTTTATGATTTTTATATCGAGTCAAAGTGCAATTGTCGATGATTTGTCATGATATCAAGAACAATTAAGAGAAAAGAAATCAACGTAAAAACAAATATCAGTGCAAAAATTCAAAAAGTTCACGGATCCAAAAATTCCTAAAATCACGGATCCAAAAATTCAAAAAATCACGGATCCAAAAATTCAAAAAATCACGGATCTAAAAATTCAAAAAATTACGGATCCAAAAATTAAAGTTCACGGATCCCAAAATTAAGTTCACGGATTCAAAAATTAAGTTTACGGATCCAAAATGCAACAGATCTTTAAAAATTGTGGATATTTTATCTGGAGACACCGGTAGTGTCTCGGCGCTAAGCCAAGCGCAGCGACACTGCCGTGGCTACTTTACGAGAATCTGTTAAGATTTCCAGACGACGATTATGGGATCTCAATAACGGCTGTCCCGATTGAGTTCTAAGTGTGCTCAATCGATTGCATCCGCTCGGAATATATAATGAAAGTGTTTTTGTTTTTTCTCTACGTGCTCTACGAGAGGAGATATTGCGACGCAAAATGATGCAAAATCCGAACTTGAAACTTTTAATTTAAGAAACGTCGTCGTCGTCGTCGACGACAGGGCTGTGGGGTGGGGGAAATGTCCTTTTGGATTTTTCGGCGCTTGAGGCAAATATGGCGCTGGCAATGTGCATGGTCACATCACATATGTGCAGGGATGCCAATTCTGTTACGGTTTACGACATCGCGACTAGTGCCATCGGTCTGGCGCAACAGATAGTACACACACAAGCACAAGCTCGTGTACGTGTGTCTGGTAGCAGAAGCCAGCCGACTCGCTCTGTCCTCGTCGCACTACGTTCTCTCCTTGTTCGTCTTTGGCGCGCTGAGAGCGAACAAGACAGCGAAAGGGAATTTGAGAGAAAGAATCCTTCTCCGTGACTCGCTGTTGTGTCGTATATCCGTAGCTCGTTTCACCGAATGAAGCGTCAAGCGACCGAAATGTTTTCTCGGGCGATCGGCGTGTATCAAGAGGCATAGAGGACATTTTAGATATATATATTACACACACACATATATATATATGTGTATATATAATTATTGTAACAATTTTTAATATACCTTTAATAATATTAAAATTATATATATACAATAATTTTTAATAATATTAAATTATATACACACACATATATATATATATATATATATACAATATGTGTGTGTGTGTGTGTAATTTTACAATAATTTTTTATTTGATTATTAAAAAGAGAATCGGTTTCTTCCTACAGTTTTTGCTCGAAAACTACACATATGAGAATAGTATATGATTACTCTACAATTTATTAAAAATTAATTTGTTAATTTTTACACGCTTTTAAGCGTGATGTCTCCATGGACAATATTTGTTACATGCTTATCCTTTTCCTATTTAAGCGTGATGTCTTCGCGGACAATATTTTTTTACACGCTTTTAAGCGTGATATCTCCATGAACAATATTTGTTACACGCTTATCTCTTTTCTATATAAGCGTGATGTCTCCACGGACAATATATTTTACACGCTTTTAAGTGTAATGATTTTAATCTAAACCATAATAAATGCAATAAGCCTGATATATATAAGTCTTTTAAACTTTAAAAAATTGATCAGTTGCAGGTAAATATTAGAAGAATAATCGATTACAATTCGTCTATTTCTTAAGGCTTAATAAGTTATAATAAGCGTTAAGCCTTAGCGCTATTGTATTTAGGATTTTACGGACAATATTTTAATATAATCTAATAAGGGACATCTTTTCAATTTGCCCACAAGGGTTCAGCAACATTATTAACATCTGTAGCATATAGTCTTAAAGTACTTTTGTCTTTTTCAGCAGCACTAGCATATAAGTTCTCCGTTGACATAAGCGACAAATGCTTTGCAACAATCATCATATTTAAGCATGTTTCTTCTCTCGCATTCAACGCTGGTTTAAAAACGCAACTAGCATTAACGGAAGTTTTGTTTAAGTATTTTAAATATATATTAAGGATCATTAATAATATAATATAACGTTTGAAAGTTTCATTGCGATGCAGAGATTAGTTGCTCTTTAAATAAACAAAATTGCTTTGTTTATTTATTTTATTTACAGATAAAGAAAAAAGGGAAGGCCGGGGACAAACTATAAACATTCATAATAATTATTATTGGGTGGATCCATATATTCGTTCGGTTTTTGTTAGTAGTGCAAATTTTTTCCGAATATCTCCGGTTTTGGTTGCCTAATCGGGCAATCCAAATATGTTTTGGAAAGGTGACAGTCCGCTCTTTTCATCTGTCAAATTTGGTTTCATTGGCATTAGTTTTGTTTATGCTACAGGCCTGTGAATATGTCGGAGAATAAGGTGCATTTTTGGCACATTTTGCTTTATTACTTCAAGAAAGGCAAGCGAGCTGCGGAGGCCCACCGAAAGATGTGCGGCGTATACGGGGACGATGCCTTAACAGAACATGCCGCTCAGAAATGGTTTGCCAAATTTCGTTCCGGAGATACGAGTCTTGAAGATGGATCCCGCAGCGGTCGGCTCACCGAGGTTGATTCGAATGATATAAAGGCACTGGTTGAGCAAAACCGGACGCTAAAGATGCGAGAGATTGCGGAGACACTTAAAATAGGTTGGAACCGTACAAAGGCATTTGTAACAGCTTGAATACGTGTCCCGCCTCGATGTTTGGGTGCCGCACAAGCTGACCGAAAAGAACCTGGCCAATCGCATATCCATCTGCAATTCACTTCTGAAGCGGCACGAAAGCGACCCGTTTCTCAAACGAAAGTGACTGGCGACGAAAAGTGGATCATCTACGACAACATAGTGTGCAAGAGATCGTGGGGAACCGCTGGCGAGCCGCCGAATGCAACCCCGAAGGCCGGCCTGCATCCGAAGAAGATTTTGCTATCCATATGGTGGGATCATCGTGGTATGCTGTTTTACGAGCTGCTTCCTCAGGGAAAAACGATCGATTCGAAGGTTTACTGCAGCTAACGAAATTGAATCAAGCATTGCGACAGAAACGTCCAAAACTGGTCAATCGCAACGGTGTCATATTCCACTATGACAACGCCAGACCCCACACCGCAATAATCACTCAGCAAAAATTAGTGCAACTTGGCTGGGATGTTTTGCACCACCCACCGTATTCACCAGACCTTGCGCCATCCGACTACCACTTGTTCCGGTCCCTGCAAAACTCCCTCAACGGGAAATCGTTCGCCGATCAGACAGCTGGGAAAACGTACCTCGACCGGTTTTTCGCCTCTAAGCCCCAGACCTTCTATGAGAGCGGAATAACGAAATTGTTGGATAGACGGCAAGAGGTCATCAACAAAAACGGAGAATATATCATTGATTAAAATTCATTCTTTGTATGAAAAAAACTTGTTTCATTTTAGCCTTCAAAAACCGAACGAATATATGGATCCACTCAATATAATAAATAAATATTAAAAAAAATTATAATGCATATTAATTTCATAGTTCCTTCTGTTTAGTCAGCATTATTTTGAGTCTCTGATGCTAAAAGCGAAAAAAATACACAAATATAAAAATTCTTCCGTAAAATTAAATTTTATGGTAGTTTTCTCATTATTAAAAACATTATACAATATAAAAATGAGTAAAGGACTCTTATAATTCAAACATAAATCAATAAGTAAAGAACAATTAATTAGAAATACACAATATAAAAATGAGTAAAAGACTTATAATTCAAACATAGAACAATAAGTAAAGAACAATTAATGCCCATTTCCACCAACGTGAATTAACTTTAATCTCGGTTCAACTTATCTTTAGAATTAAAAAAAGACGGAGAGCAAGTTGAACCAACATTAAAGTTAATCTACGTTGGAAATGGACATAAGAGTCTAAAATATCTAAATATTAGAAATATAATTATAAAAGCAAAAATTATCTTACATCTTTTTCGCGTTTAATCTATAGGAGCATGTTGAAGCAAGCTACGCGAAAAAACCTATTATCTTATCGTTGTGATATATACTACCAAATTAAAAAGTAAAATCCAATCTTTTTTTATTATTTATTTAACTCTAATGATATGTATCATGTGTATAAAAGATTCTCTCTCTCTATGGAATTTTAAAATTATATACAAACTTACCTTTTAAAAAAACAAATACCAAATTAAATAAATAATATTAACTTTAACGATATGTATCATTCCTATAAAATATTTGATATCAAGAACTGACGCCAAGTTAAATCCCACTTCTTTATACCATGCCAAATTAAATAAGTAATAAATATTAATCTAATGGTATGTATTATTTGTACGAACGATTTGATACCAACAACTGTGGCGCCAAGTTAAAAGAAAAACTCAAGTGATACTATCTTTATTATTTACTTAATCCAAATGGTACTATGTTTAATTTTTATGCAATGAAACCTAAGTATACTACGTATTCTTATTGAAGAATCTTTCTATTCCAATCCAAATGGTTTAAATTCCTCTTAAATGAAATTATTATATCACAATTCATTCAAAGACATTTCTTCTTCCAACTAAAGTAGTGGTTAATTTAATTCTCCTTCAAAACATTATACAAAACATTATCACAAAATTGCGTTACCTAACCCAATTTAAGTATTAACACAAAAAATTAAACAATTAACCGTATAAAATGAAAAAATTTAATTTAAATAGAAAAATTTTTCACGTAAAAACACTTGGCGCTGCTAGATAGAGTAAGAAAACTAGAAGAACAATTTAAAATTCGAATGGTAATTAATAAAAATAAATCCGTTAATAAATCAAACTAATCAAGACTCCTTACAAATCAAAGAATTGGAAAGAGTAAGGGCACTAGGAGTCGGGCGCAGAAGACGTCGCGCAAATAATACACTTATAAAGAATGAAACTTCTTTATTCACTAAACGCGCTTACATGTTTCGACTCATCTTTGAGCCTTCCTCAGAGCAAACACACACTGACATATATAAAGTAAAGGTTATCCTGTCATGGTGAGCTCCCCTACATCGAGAATTTAAATGCCAGAATTTAATAAAAAGAAAGAAAAGAAAATGAAAAAGCAGGATAACACTAAAAATTAAAGAATATAGAAACTAATTTATCGAAAAACTAACCGAAAATAGGGACGCTCGCCACAATTACAAAGTACTGTATCGCAAACGTTATCATGAAAAATTCAAGAACCGGTTCCTGATATGTTGACCAGTCGGTATCAGACACAGTGAGTCACTTTTTAGATATTAGCTAGTACTAATGAAAATTGTAAAGTGATAAAAAATCTCGTCAGCAGGATTTATTACTGTGTACGAGCGACACCGACTGAGAAGACGTGACAACAACTCGAGCTTTTATAGTTCATCTATAATCGGGAGGTAGGCCTTCAGAAGCCCCTCCATATCCGTCTGCTGATTGAGTCCATGCGTTTGTCTTCTGATGAATGTCATCTCCGAAATCAGTCTCTTCTTGTAGTGAGGTTCCTCGTCCAATATTGCAACACTGTCCCAGTCAAAATCATGTCCCTCTTGCAACCGATGTTCCGTTATAACACTGCGAGCAGACGTGTTCCATCGGATGTGGTTCTTATGTACCGTTATTCTTGACTTCAGTTGTCTACACGTCTGTTCAACATAACTCGCGTCGCAGCTCCTGCACGAAATCTTATAAACAACCTTCGACTTCTTATAACGCGGTAAGGGGTCCTTATGCACCCTAATAAATTCTCGCAATTTATTAACACTATAAAATAACATCCTCATATGCTCGCTATTGAATCTATTAATCATCTCAGTAATACCATGAACGAAAGGGACAGTGAACCACGAAGGCTGTACTACATCAACGCTATTGTCACTAGACATCGGATTTTATTTGCAGATATTTATTATTAAAAAAGAACGGTTAGTAAGTAAAATTTGTATTGTTTGCAATATCTAACATAGTTATATTACAACATATACCAATATGCATTTTTTATGAAGAAATATATGCAAAATAATGTGCATTATATATGCAAGGTATATGCAAAATATGATCTTATAAAAAATTGTTTTTATTATTTTACTTCTACATATATTGATATAATTAGTGCAAATAACACATTTAATTTGAAAATTAATATTTTATACTTATAATATTACAAAAAATAAAGTTACACAAAAGATAATTTTAATTATAATTTTGAAAAAAACATATTTTAAGAATTATAATTTGCATCACAATAAACAACTAATATTTTTTCTAGATTGGAGATTGTAAATTTATAGCGCTTATCTGAAAAAATTATTTTATATGCTGAAAATGAACGCTCCACGTCGCAAGATGTAATGGGAGCGTATCTGGAGACATTGGTAGTGTCTCGGCGCTAAGCTGCGCAGAGCGACACTGCCGTGCCTCCTTTACGCGAACCGACGAGTTGCGGCAGATCGAGATTATCGGATCTCAATAACGGCTGAACCGATCGCGTTCTATGTATGCTCAATCGATAGCCACCACACAAATTGTGTGATAAAAGTGCTTCTATTTTTTTTCTACGTGCCCTACGAGTGGAGATATCGCGACGCAAAGTCCGGACTGTTGAATTTTCACCTCATTTTTAAGATACGTCGTCGTT